GCGTTTCTGGGGAGATGCACCGGAAGATAGCTTGGAACTTGGCAATGTTTTGTCGGTCCTGGGTGGGAGGGGCGAAACAATTAGATCACTTTCTTGTGTCATGGGTGAGGTCATAATTTGTCTGGGAGTACTAAGCCTAGCGGTGCTTATCGCTTGCGAATTTCGGAGCTCCTGCTAGAGGAGGCTTGGTGGTCGTCGCAGGAGCACCCGCTGTACTGACGGGGGGAGCTGGCGTGGTGTCGCGCTTTTTTGCAGCTACTTGTGCGACAGCTGTAGATCCTGGTGCTGGTGCAGATTTTGTAGCAGCCGCTGTCTTCGCTCCCGAAGGGGTCTCAAATGCGTCCATCAAAGAGAGCAACTGAGTCTTTCTCTGTTGCATCTCAGAACCTGAAAAGGGAAATCAGCCAATGCAGGCTTTGTCTTTATGAACGTACACATTACCTTTTGTATCTGGTGGTGCAGTCGGACCTATGAGACAGTCATCGTTATTGGACGCAGCTTTCTCCTTGGGCTGGCGAGAGCCTGAAAAGATGAGGTACCTTTATATCACAAGCTTCGTTGAAGATCCAAAAAGTTCTAAGAATCCTCAAATTAAAGCACGGGCATCCTTTCGTCTTCCTATTACGTTGAGAGAACGTGATTGAGAAGTGATGTGATCGACGTTCAAATACTCACATGGATCAGGACTCTTCGCCATAGCGTCTGCTGCCAGCTTTTCAAGGAAGGAGACGTTTTTCCTCGGTCAATCGGTTTGTGTCAAGACGAGGCTTGAGGGTTACGAAAGAGATTTCCAGTCGACGAGATACTTTCATAACCTTAACAGTCGGAACTGTCATGAACTCCGTTCAGGAACTTTTTTCCCTGCTGCGCCCCACGCCTCTACGGACGAAGTATTTAAGCAGCCCGAAGGCCCTAACAGGACTCTTGAAAAGCTCTCTCCGTCGGCAATGGTCTTGGGAGCGGCGGAGCCCGCCAGTCTGTTCTTATCTATTTAAAGTGCTGAGACTCCTCGGGAGTGAGGACCTGTATTGGCGAAGGCAATGTTGCCCGGACGAGGAGGAAACAGCATTCACCACCTGCAAGTGGGAGACCCGCTTCAGGGAGGGAGGGCAGTGTGAAGTCGGTCAACTTCAATGTCAAGGAAAGGTGAAACGTCCTTTATCAAATGTTAGTCTGCAGACAGTCTAAGAAAAGTTTGGTGCTCAGTGTGACCGTAGTAAAAGAATAAAGCGTCTTTTATGAAGTGTGGTTTAGTTGAAAGAGAAATTGTTTAACCATTATATACTCGATATCTCGAAGTCAGATTAGGCGTGTCTATGGGTTTGACGTGGCGGCCGCCGCATTTGATGGAAGTTGCGCGGATAAGCATGCTCTGCTGATATCCAATGGAGTACGTTAGAAACAGCCTATCCTCACGGCTTTTATCAAGTGCGGCAAAGGCCACGTCAAATCCATAGCCACGCCTAATCTGACTTCGAGATTTCGACTGTATGTATTGGTATCTGGGAAGTGATGCCCTCAGAAGAAGACCATTTGTCAGAGTGCTTATTCGAAAGCAGTTGCGTTCAATGGATAGCCCACTATAAGATGAAGGTAGAGGTGTCCAATGATGCAGGGATGAAGAAAAAACAAGAAAAAGGGCGCAGAACCCGAGATACGAGACCCCATTTCGCTGATTTGCGCGTTGGCTGACTCACGATGACCTCATCAAAGGGAACGTTCTCTCTGCTAGCTGGTTGGAGCCGGACAACAAGGGGTGGGCGGGCAGCGGCACGTGAGCAGCAAGTGAGTTGGGTCGCGTCGTCAGAGGGCCACTTGCCTCCTCCCTAGTGTACTTCCCTGTCTCGACCTTTGAAAAGTGGAATCCTCCTTAAAATAGGTGACCAACCGACGCAGCGTTTCCGTCTGTTCCGCAGTAGTTGGGTGCCGAAAAGATTGTGACTAATTTCCGATCGTACATGAATTGGTGTCCACCCTGAAATTGGATCGTGTATTTCTCAGCTATGAGAAGCACCGCTATCGCATCCGAGTAGATTTAATTGCTCAGAACTTGCTTTTGCTATTGCTAACAATTTTTCCAAGACCTTGATTATTTTTTAGTCCAGTTTGGCCAAAGCTAACAGACTATTTACCCTCACGACTTCATGTGCTCGAACGACCATTGAGATGTCAAGCATATCACAGATATTCGCAATGGTGTCACCACCAAAGATATATGAAGT